CCTGCTGCGCCGGGGCGGGGCAGCCGGGGTCCTCCTGGCCCTGGCCGCGGCGTGAGGCGCGGGGGAGCCGAGTCCGTTATTACAGCGGTTACCTCTGAGCCCAGTTCCACGCTCGCGCCTCGGGGCGCGCTCCAAAGGGCTGGAGCGCCGCCCCGCACCCAAAGGCCCCGGGAAGCCACCCTCGCCGGGCGGGCGCCCAGGGGCGGAGGGAGCGGACCCTCGGCGCGGCGGGGGCCGGGAGTCCCGGTCACTCCCAGACGCGCCGCCAGGGGCCAGGTGTGCGCCGCTGGGGTTGGACCTAGTGCAGTCTAATTACTAGAGGCTCATTATCGCCTCCAGCCTGTTTACGAGCACTTTAGTGGCTTTTATTTATAGCTTCTGCCCAGGCAACAGCGAGGTGGCATTTGCTTGGGATTTCATAGGACAGCGGAGCTGGGGAGGGAGCGGGGAGAATCCACAATGGTCCAGCACAGACACCCCCAGTGGAAGACGCCCCTTCTTGGCTGGGCAGGCCTTGAGAAATTCTGCTGGGTTCCTGTTTCCATCACTGCTGGTTCTTTACTCTTTGTCCACAGCCCTCCCGCGGGTAGTCTGGTTTTTATCTGCTCACCTGGGCGACTCTATCTTCCCATCAGAAACCTTAGCACTAAACCCTCAGAACGAGCTGGCTTCTTCTTATCCAAGGCCACAATGAATCGCTGTGGGAACCTTAAGTCTGTTGACGTGTGATTATTACCTTACTAGTTTTCAGTACCGGATAAAGCGTAATACTCCTAAAAAGCTGGATATGCCAACTTTTGGGGCCTGTGATGGCCTGATTGAACTCACCCTTTCAGCTGATCAATGGAAAGCACAGACCCAGAACAGTTTTCCCACTCGCCTTTAAATAGAACCAGAAACTGTGTGGTGGTATATTTTCTGTTACAGAAGTAGAATTCCTGACCTGCACCCTGAGGAAATCCTTAGGTGGCTTCCAGCTCTGCCTCGAGGCAGGCCAGTGGTACGTCCCAGCCACTAAAACCCAGCAGCCGGGTTACAGGAATGTGAGTGGGAGAGAGTGAAAGGGGTTTCAAGAGCCCTTTATGCTGAGAACAGCTGAATACTTTTACACACCAGGGGTAAACTGAGACTTGTTTTTCAGGAGACTCGGGCTAGAGAGAAGCCAGAGGGTGGATTGGACACTGGCTAGGCTGGAAGTGAAGAGCAAAGTGGGGTGTTGCCGGCCCCGTCCAGAAGCTGCGGCTCTTAAATTCAGCTGGTAGCACGGGGTGGGCGCCCAGCGTGTCCCTCTCCGGTGACATAGGCAGGCAGCGAGCGGGACTAGTTTGAAGACTGTGGCAGAGCGACCTGCTCCTGCGTTGACTGGGCGTGCAGTTGGGGGAGCAGGGCTAGGGTGCAGGCCCGGGGAGAGCCAAGTCCACATCGATGGTGATACGAACCCTAAGAGTGAGCGCGCGGCGGAGGCCAGGGCTGGGAGCCCGTGAGTTCTGCAGGTGGCAGAGTACACGCAATGCAAGGAGGGCGGGCGAATCCTGCGGCAGCCGCAGCTGCGCGTGTCAGGCAGAGGAGAGGAAGCGTCAGGGAGCCAGACTGGCCCTCCGAGACCGAGGGCTCACGGCTCTCGAGGAGCAGCAGTGGTACAGAGATGCTGCCGCCCCTGTGGGAGAAGGCCAGGCTGGTCAGGGAGGTCCTAAAGGAGCGGGAACTGAGACTAGGGACAGTAAGAAGCCTTCATTTTTCGTTGTGACCAGAACAAACTCCACAGTGAGAGCAGCTTAGAGAAATGCAAACCCGTCTCCTCGCCATACTTAGGGCTGAAGTCTGACTCTGTCTCACAGCTAAGCTCCAGCGCTCCCTCCCTGATGCTCTGGGGAGGCTCCGCTCCCTTGTGGTGGCCAAGCTCTCTGGCTGCTGGCAGAGTTTCTCCTCGCAGCTGGGGAGTGTGGTCCCTGAAAATCACCACCTTCGGTGTCTAGAGACCACTCACCCTCCGTGGCTCCTGGCCGGCTTCCCTCTCTCCACAGTCCTGCTGGGTAGGGGTGACCCTCCCTCCGGACCTCCCGACTTCCCCTCCCACACCTAAGGCCCTGGGGTTCATGCTAGGTGACCCAGGCCCGCCCTCCCTGTTTCTAAGTCAGCTGGTCAGCAAGGTAATTGCAGCTGCACTGTCCCTTTCCCGGTGTGAGTGAGACCCGCCGGTGGGGTGTGGCGTCCTGGAGGTCACTCTGCCTACCATAGAAGTCGGTGTTAACAGTTAATGCGACACTCATCCTGGAAGTGGTCGGTCAGGGGAGGAGAGACCTGGCGCATTTATGTCACCTAGAGGTGGTAACTGTAGTCGGTCAACAGGCATTCTTGTTTTCCCTTGAGCTTTTTTGACTGAGAAGTGAGAGAATTGTCTTGAATTTGTTGAAGTTTGTGTGACCTATCTTTGTATCCTAGTATGGAAACATAATGTCATGAGGTTTTTATATTTTTAAGTATCCTTTAACTGCTTAAAAATGTTTTAAATGGTCACTTAACTAAGCATGTGTGCATACATATAGTTTATATTTAAATTATAAAATCCACACAACAAGAAAATACTTAATTTTTTTATGATTTATTTATTTATAATACAGAACTGAGGTACAGGCCAGAGGTGCAGGGGCAGTGAGAGGCTTCACCAGAGACAGAGTGGGGAGCAGAGCAGGCAGATGGATGAAGTCCACTGCTGAGGGGAGCAGCGGGCGGGCCAGGAGAGGTCTGCCGCGCCTGTGGTCACCTCCGGGGCAGGCGGGGGTTGAACTCATGCTGAAGTGGCCTTAGCTTCTCAGTGCTGTGCTGTAACCCGCTGGGCCACCAGGGAGGGCCTTTTTTCTTTAATCTTAAAGGCCCAGAGTCCTGCAGTCGCTTAATGAGGATTTTGGTGAGGACTTAGTTGCTAAATCTTCTAACCCGAGCCTCGCTGTCTGTCTGGGAAACAGGACGCCATTACCTTCCTCAGGGGGCTGTGGAGGCTTCTCATGCAGGCCCCTTAGGCCCCCTGGAAACGGCACTTCCTGGCCTTGCTCCACTCTTCCCTCCTTCCCCCAGGAAATGCTCTCCAGCTCCTGCCTCCCACTTCACCTGTAGCTTTCTCAGGGAGCCCTTCTGCCACGGAAACAGGCAATCTTCCGACTTCCTTCTGTCACGTGTACGGGGCCTGCTGGGTCCTGTGCTTGGTGTCTGCTCTCCATGCAAGGCTGCGAGCGCAGGGCCATGCCAGTTCTGCTCACTTGTGCAAATCCATCGTCAGGCGTAACCCCTGGCACCTAGTGGGTAGTCACAAACGTTTGTCAAGTGAGAAATGTTACCTGCTGACTGACTACCCTGGATTGCCCAGACGCCAGCCAGCACATAAATCTGTGAGAAAATAGTTGCATTTCAAATGGCCTTAGAGCTGCTTTGGAAGAAGGCTGCCGGCCGCTCCCACCTCCTGGCGGCTCCCTCAGCGTGGGTTTTCTCCAGTGTCACATAGCCAGGTAGTTCCAAGAATATTCTAATTTTGATAAAAACTTGTGTGACGTTGTAACATAAGACGTCTTTAATCTTCTTTCGGTGCAGCACCTTTCCGAGTGAGCTGTGCAGCCTGCCACCGCACCGCAGCTGCAGCGTCAGGCCCTCCCGTCAGGCCACCAGCTGCAGGTTTTACCTAGACCAAGGCCCCGTTTTTCTGCAGAATGTTTTCACTGTGTTAGGTTTTGGCCAAGAGACTGAGCTCTCAGGGCGCAGTGTTGGAACCTCTGCGGGGCTGTTCCTCACGCGTGAAGCCATGGCTGAAGACGCCTGTCACTGAGGATGCAGTCCAGGAATTTTCTACGAGTGAAATTCTAGGAAAGGATTGTCTCCCTCTGAAGACCTTGTAGATTTTCATAGACGGGGAAACACCCTCGTTTTATTTTTGGCTTTCCACTAATTGCCTAAAACCCCTAAACATGTGAGGAGCAACAGCAGCCCAGCTGGTTGCTCAGGAACGCCTCCCCCCCCCATCATTCCTGCATTCACACAGCCATGAACCTTCAGCTGCCCTCACCACGAATGCGCTTCTGGGCGCCCCAGCCCAGGCGCCCCAGGCCAGGCAGCGGCGGGCTCCTGGTGGGGTCTGCTTGTGCTGTGAGTTTGCCTGGAGCTGCCGGCTTGGGCCCTGGCACTGCAGCGTCAGCCCTGCAGGTCGCGGGGAGCCACCGTGATGCCCCTGCAGGCGAGGTCGGGGCTGGTGGTTCCACCGACATTGCCTGGGGCTGGGGGCGGCCTTGCCGCGGCCTCAGCGTCCAGGTCCAGCCCGCGCTTCTCCCGCCTCGGCCCTAGGAGGCTGGTGGCTGGGCCCGGTGCGGAGATCCAGCCGGCTCTGGGTCGCTTTACGGGACGCTGGTGAAGCCCGTGGCGGTGGAGCAGGCGCCGTGGCTGGGCCGGCAGCGGGAGGCCGGTGCCCTGACCTTGGCCAGAGTGACTCACACTTCAGTTCTGCCAGGCGCAGAGCGAGGCCGCAGGTCCCGCCCGGCGCCCGTCTCCCTCG